AAATTACATTATCATGGAATTATATATTTGTTATTGAGGAAATCTGCATTCTAAATTTAATTTCTAGAACCACATTATATAGATTTAATCTTGAATTTAGATTATGTTTATAGTCTTTTTGTGTCCCTTAGCTGAAATGGAAATTTATAAACATCACAAAGAGATCCTTTGTGCCTCGCAGTAGAGATTATTTTACTTAAGTTTGGGGCAATGTTGTGATAAAATAATCACGAGTAGTTCTTCAAAGAGAAAATTTATTGAAATGTACGCCAGAATTAAAAAAGAAGAGGATTAGTCCATCAATACACGGATAAAATTTTTCTTCAAACATAAAATTAGGCTTCTCACCTTCTCCCAAATAACCTAGGTTTGCATCAAGGAAATCTGAAGAAAAATATAAAACTAGAATCCTCTCAATGAGATTAAGAGTGACAAAGAATAATCTGAAAAAAATAGGCAAAAGCTGTCAAGAAGACTCCAAACATGAATAATTTTTGTTAGTACTTGGAGATCCTATTCATCTTGAACTAGATCAACATTTTTCCTACCAATTAGCATAGCTTTCATATTCGCTTTCATATTCAAAATTTCACCAGAAAAAAATAATAACCACCCTTCTTTTTCCCCTTGAATCACATTCCACCACATTTATTTTGGAATCCAAAAAATTTAAAGCTAATTTGCTATTGAATGCAAGATCTAAGACAAGTATAGATGCAAAGGGATCCAAGTCATTATAAAAGCACTTCTTCAAGAGAAGCGAATCAATAAATTTTAGATAAAGAAAATAGATGAGCGGATTTACTGTTTATGAGAAAATACTTCTCCCACAAATTCATTGCTTATAAGAAAACATTTCTCCCATGAATTTACATGCGAAAAAAGAAAGAAAAAGTAAATGGATTGTTGCATTGGCATTAACTCACAATCTCTAAATAATCAAAACAAAATATGGCTAAAGACAAGTTATATGTTTGTTATTGTAATTATCTATTACCCTTTTTTATGTGTGCAGTTTTGTATAACAAGCTAAGCTTATCTAGCCATTTCTTCTTCTATATAATATCATAGTGGGTTAGGGTTTTCTGCCTCCAACTTTTACTTATTATTGTATATTTCAGGTCTCCAGTATGAGGAAGAAAATCGAACAAGCGAGAGAAAAGTATGTGCAATATCTCTTGAGGCACATAATTAATTAGCACACTCCTTTTCCACTGACAATACCAACATCATATGGGACCATCATTATAAGTTTGGATTGCTCTCCTTTAAAATCCTTCAATGCATGTTTCCTTTTCTTTTTTTCAATATAAATATCAAGGATTTCATTTCAAGATTTGTGAACTTGCAAAATATTATCATATTATTTTTTACAGCAATTGTGGACCCTCTACTCTTTTTATTTTAATTCACTTTGATACTTGGGGACCCTCTAACATCCTCAATATTTTTGGTGCTACAACATTTGTCACCATCATTGATGACTACACTCGAATTACTTGATTATATCTTATCAAATAAAAATATGATGTCATCATTATCCTTCTCATATTCACTATCACGATAGCAAATCAAGTCAATACAAATATCAAAATGTTTCGGACTAATAATGCTCATGATTATGTTAATCACACATTACTATCATTCTCTTACAAAGAGAAAATTAGATCCAAGAGCTCGAAGTGTGTGTTCAATGGGTATTCTAGACTCAGAAGGGGCATAAATATTATCATCCCAACATAAAAAGAATCCTTAATTCATTGGATAACACATTTGATAAAATTTTTTTTTTTCAAATTCATCTTTAAGGGAAGAAAGTTAAACTTGATGAAACATCTTTCTTTCATCTTGATATCCTTAGAACTCGGAATTCAACAAATCCTAACACTATACTCCTTCAAGTTTATACAAAAAGAAATAAGCTAGCCTAAATCTGAGGGAGGCTATCCGAAAAGAGGTAAATGCCCTAAATAAAAATCAAACATGGGAGATTGCCAAAAGAAAAAAATTGTGAGACGCAAGTAAAATTTTTCTATAAAACATAAAACATATGGGAGTTTAGAATGATACAAGATAAGATTAATAGCCAAAGGATAAAATCAATCATATGAAATTCACTATCAGGAAAATATTGCTTTGATTGCAAAAATGGTTACAATACATATTCTGATTTCTCTAGCAGCTACTTTTGGATAGTCCATGCAACAATATTATAAGAAAATCAATTTTTACATCAGAAAATTGAAAAAGGGGTTTATATTCACCACTAGGATCTGAAAGTGCTTTCACAAAGAACAAGGTTCGCAAATTAAAAATAGCTCAAGACGGATTGAAACAATCCTTGAGAGCTAGGTTTGACAAATTCATAAAAGCTATAATGAGAGTTAGATGCAGACAAAGACAATGAGACCATACATTCTTCATAAAGTGCTCCTCCGATGAAAAAATATAAATTTTCATTGTATATGTTGACCATATAATTATTACATGTGATGACAATCAAAAGAAGATCTTTACAAAGTAATTTGTCAAAGAATTTGAAATCGAAGAGTTTGGAAAACTCAAATATATTTTAAGCATAAAAAATTCTCACTCTGAACGAGAAACATCTCTCCTAACAAATATATCCTATAGATCTTCTAAAAGAAACAAAAAAGAAGTACATGCCATGCGAAACCCAAATTAAACTAGGTCAAAAATTGGACAGATAGAAAGAGAACCGAAATAAACACGGGACAATATCAAAGATAAAGGGTCCGTTTGGGGCAGTTGTTGATTATTTATAATCTGCTGATAAACAAATTATTTTGATAATTTGATAATTTGCAGATTATTAGATTAAGCTCTCTTGTTGTTTGAGACAGCTTATTCAGAATAACTTACTGCGAGCTTTTGTTGGATAAATGATCATTTTGCCCTTGTTTGTTTAAGTTGTTTGCAACATAACTGAATGAGAAAAATAATAGATAAAACTAATACAGTTGAGTTACAAAAATTAAAATACATTGCTCATCATTTTGTGAGTTTCAAAAGAAATAAAATAAGAAGAAATACAATTATAATTAAAAGTAAAAAAAATTAAAACGTTCAATAAGGAACAATAGATCGAGTAAGAACTAAAGGGTTTCTTGAAAATGTCACGTTTTTAGGAGAAGGCAACAAAATAGGACTTCTATTTTAATTATTGTGTGAATGTAACCCTTCCTATAGTGAGCATAGCATACTTCGGATGTTAATACAATGATTCTTCACACATCAAATTATGCACTAACTTCTGCATATGACTAAAAAAAATGAACATGAAGTCAAGTTTTGTAAACTATGCAGTAATGAATACGTTCAAGAAGTAGCTTTTGATTGACAACTGTCTTACACCGTTAAAAAAATCAATTAACTAGCTAATTTCAGTGAAAAAGAATAGGGTTTTAACACCGATATTTTACCTAGGGTTCTTGAAAATCCAGAAATGAAAAGAGTGGGTGTTGCGATTCAGAAATATTGGGTAAGTGGAAACCATCAAGAATGTATAGATCAAGAAGGAAAAGGAGAGGATCGAGAATATCAACCGAAAGCATGCAATTCATACAATAGATAGTTAAAAATAGAGATCCCAAGTGATTGCATAAGATTCAAGAAAGGAAGAAGAGTTTCTACTTGCTTGGTTGAAGATTCTAGCGAGCGAATCGATTGGAAGGAAAGAACTCCTCTATGTGAATCGAATGGAAGAAAGGAGCTCTTCTGCGAACCGAATGGAAAAAGAGAGCTCTGTATGCGAACCGAATGGAAGAAGAGAACTCTGTGTGGAGATCGATCAGTAGGAAAGAGTTGTGTAGGAATCCATGCTTTCGTTTTTATGAAGAATCAAAAGCATTTGATCAAGCAACGATCTGCACGACTTCAGTCTCCCGGCGACCTTTTGATCAAGCTGGAATAGCGGTGTCGATCTCAACGAAAGGTGAAGGACAAGAAGTAAGATTGGAGAGGGGAAGGGCGGGGCCGAGCAGAAGGGCACGAGAGTAACTATTACCCCAATGCGAGGAGGCGCGGGACGCGGGGTCGATCCTGCATCCCTGCCTATTAAAGAAATGGCGAACGTAGTTTCGAAACATTTTTGAAACGCTCGACGAACGAGTTTTTTAAACGGTGCGACGACGTCACAATTAATTTATTTATACCACACTTGACCAAATATTACATATGCATTAAATTGTGACTGTCAGTATATGTACAAACCTTAAACTCACTTTCATGCAAGTTTCAAAATTTTTCGATATCTTAATTCAAGTTCAGGAAAAAGAACTTTATATAAAAGGAAAGATACTTTATAAATCGAAGGATCTACTGATGCGAACTAAGTTATATCATTTATAGATAGATGCTCTACTTCAGGATAACATACATTGTTTGAAGGAAATATTATAGCTTAATGGAGCAAAAAACAACTTGTTGTATCAAGATCTAACACTGAATCTGAATTCAAAAAAATTTTCTTATTAAGGAATTTCTGACAAAAAAAGGTCAGAAAAAAAATTTAACAACACCTTTGCACGCAAATCCATAAATATTCTACTTGCACGCAAATCAAAACTAGTTCATTCCCTTTGGCTGCCATTGTTGGCGCGACTAAGAGCCTTTCTTATAAGTGGCTTTTTCCCAAAGGAAAGAAGAAATTGAAAAACAAATAAGAAAGAAAGACATCAAAAGCCTTCTTCCTTTACAACTCACAATGAATGAGCACACTTTTATTTCTTGTATAAGTACGTCACTTATTTAAAAATTAGGACTAAAAGAACATTGACATCAGGTCAAGGTTTTCTAGTTAAAATTTTAATAGAGCATGACATCTTCAAATAATTCTAACTGAAAAAAAATGCCTACTTTATACTTGCCTCACATTAAAAAATGAATCTCAAACTCAAGTGTTGGCATTATTAGAGAAATTATATCAGAATTCCCATGAAATTTAAAATAGGTTTGATTTATATTACCCAAAAACAAACCTGAGTTGGATGCTGTCCAGGGCCATCTCCTGCATTAATAATCGGAATATTTGCAGTAGCAGCCGCCCTTCTGGCAGCCCCACTTTCAAAGTGACGAAGCACAATTATATCAGAGTAGCCTTCAACTATCCTTATAGTGTCTGCAAGTCAAGTTTTCTTAGTCATCAACCCAAGGAAATTAACTGGTACACATCGTGAGTAAAGTTATTATACCTTCGAGAGTTTCTCCTTTTGCAGCTGAAGAAAATTCTCGTGCATTTTCAGTCGTCAAAACCTCTCCTCCCAATCTTTTCATTGCGGATTCAAAGGAAAGTCTGGTTCTTGTTGAAGGCTCATAAAACAAGGTCGCCATCAAGAAACCATCTAATATTTTGCTTCCAGATGAATTCTTCTCAATCGATTCCATCTCCAGAGCCACTTTGAAGATATCATCTAAGGTATCTCTTTCAAATTGTTGGGACTCAATTACATCGTCAAGCTGAAACTTTGGTTTTGGTGTAATAGGTAAGTTTCCAACCTCAACTGAAGAGGATTCACTTCTGAATGAAAAATGACTTCTTGCAATTTGCTTGCTTTTGTAAATATTAAATGGGTTGAGAAAGAGTGGAGATTTACGTAAGGAAATCGAAGGTTTCGCATCAGTAAATAAGTTTGTTGAAGCTCTTGAAATTTGCATTCCATTTGTAGTAGAGCAAGTACATAGAGTGGATACAGTCATGGCATCAGAAACACAGTAAAATATGAAGACCTTCGAATTTCTGTAAGTCCAAGTTCAAATTAATAACATTCAAGACTTGCATTATTTTTTTTATTCTTTAAGAATGGTACACAAATTGAACATAACACGGTAATCTTTTTATAATAAACGACAGGAAATTCATCATGAAAGAAATTTCAAGCATAAATAAAGACTTCATAAGAAACAAGTATAGTTATAATTTGATATTAATTGATGCATCGGATAATAAAATAAACAAAAGAAAAAATATACAAATTTACGTGGAAATTCCAAGATAGGAAAAACCACGGGTAGAGGAGGAGAATTCACTTTATCAAATAAGAGATTACAAGTGGAGAGTGTTTTCCAAAAAATAAATAAGGGGTATTTATAGTTTTAGCAGGACCCTTTTAAAAGAAATAATAAAAAGAGGGTCAGTAAAGCAATAGCACACTGATTGCAATCTAAAGACTATTATAAGTTTTATTGAATGGTTGAAACCTTCAATTCGTGTGCTTACAGTTTCTTTCTAAAGCCTCAATCAGCGTCATCATACTTTCCCTACGAGACGGTTAGCATGAGTGGCAAAATAATTCGGGTCACAAATTTAGCAATCTCCACCTTGAAACAAATTTCCAAAGAATATAGAATAGAACTTTCTCCACCTCTTCCACAAAGCTCTAATAATCAGGAATGAACATCAACCAGATCTAAAATGCTCAAACTTGGCTATTGGAAGTGATTTAGTCATAATATCCACGAAACTATCATGAGTATTGATCTCACAACAATATCACCACGAGCGATAACTTCACGAACAAAGTGATAACAAACATCAATGTGCTTAGTTCTCTTATAAAACATTTGATATTTGCTGAGATAAATAGTACTCTATCACAAATCAGTGTGGTTATCTTCAATTTTTCACTAAGATCTTTAAATAGACCCTTCAATCAAATAGCTTCTTTGCAAGCTTCAATAATTGTCATGTACTTAGCTTCAGTTGTAGATAGTGTCGTTGTTGTCTGTAAAGTAGCATTCCAGTTAATCACACATCCACCAATACAAGTGATCTCCTTCAATCAAGATCTACAGCAAAATCTAAATCAACATAGTCGATAAATCTATTTGTAGTCCCCCAAAATTGCAATCAAACATTTTTTGTTCCAAAATAGATACCTGAGGATCCACCGGGCTACTTTCCAATATTATTTACCCAAATAAGTCATATATCTACGAACTGCACTGACTACATAAGATAAATCTAGACAAGAACATATCATAGTATGCATAAGGATCTGTTTGGAGCAGCTGCAACTTTTCAGCTTCTCAGCTTCAGCTGCGTTGCCCCAGGAAACTGCTGTGGGGAATCTGCTGTGAGGAAGATGACTGCATGTTTGGGGCAACTGTGTAAAAACAACTGTGAAACAGTTATTTCTGTAAAAATTACAATTCTACCTCTGTTTTGTAATGTTGTGCATGACAGAACCGTGATAGTCATAAATTTAATACTTTTAATGGCAAAAATTTACTTAAAAATAGTACAGAATTACAGATACATAGCTCGCTTCACAGTGAGTATCAAAAGTGCAAAAAAAAAAGTCTAAAACTATTAACATGACAATTAATAAGATGATTACATTATTTTTAACATCCTGACGGTGTAACTCCCGTGCTAGACTTTCCTCAATGAATGTTCTCTATTCCGGATCACTGTCGTCAGGGGAATCTGTCGAATTGTCTGCCCAACGGAAGAAGCGATACTGTTTAGCGACGCCCCGAGGGCGGGTAAGAATTTTCTTCCGTAGTTGTGCGACCGACTTGACGTCAGTTGGGAAGCCTAGAGGCTACAGTGGCAGAGAAATCGTCAGAATGTTCCTGAAATCATTGAGCTCATATTTTCCTGATTGCAGCAGAAGAAAAAACAATAGCCAAATATCGTTAATAATAAACCAACTCCTATATTATAGCTACCATGCATAAAATGAATTAATATAAGAAAAAAGTGCCCTGTTGTAAATGATTTCTAGAACGGAGAAAAGGGCATTAACTGCTATAAAGAAAGGTAATATAGATTTGAACTTCCATTTTCTGCACCAACAAACAAACAAGCATAAATAAAGACACAAAGTAATGTTCCACCAACTTACATAATCAAACTAAAGAACACTTGCACTTTAAACAAAATTAATCCGAGCAAAATTTCAATAAACTACATAATTGTATTAAACTAAAAGTAATTAAATTTGTAATTTTCCAATCATCTGCTTACTATCACATCAGTAATACGTTCTCTCAACGCTGTCATTTCGTTTGCACCTTCCCCATCCGCAGTATAGAGTGTGGATGCCTCACTGTCATGTTGTGTCTACTGCCCCAAACGATACTCATAAGCTTCTGCAGGCACATGTTCTTGATCATCCTTCATCAAATGAAAGTCAATATCGTTACGAGAATGATGTTTTTGAATGTAATTGTTGAGAGTCGTTGTAGTTAATATAATTTGTACCTGCTTGAAGAACATTTAAGGAGGCATATCACGGAGTATCACTCATTTCTTCTTTCACACACCAAAACTTCTCTCAAAGACACCACGCAACGATGAATGTTATTTATTGAACATTTCTTCTCTATCTCGTGTAACATTGTTTGCACGTTCAAAGTTTGTTATATGATACTGCGTATCAAGAAATGACTTTAGATACTCTTGCTGAAATGGGTATCCAACATCGACCAAGTAGTATTTGTTTGATAAATACTGAAATTAATATGAATATTAAATTGAAGTCTTTTATGTACTTATGCTTGGGCTTACCTGTCGGTCGATGTGGAAAGTTGGTACTAACATTCCATATTGCAGATCAAAAAACTCGACTATCATGTGCGCTCCCCTCCAAACCGACAATTACAAAAGTAAAACACATGTTAAAGTCGCAAACAGTCATGACATTTTGGGTCGTGCTACTGCAAATACCAATGATGCAACTTTATCATTATTCAAAATTCGTGCGTCAACATGTGTTCCGTCAGTTGCGCCAAAGCAATGTTGTGTAAGCGAAAGTTAGGTTCTAAAGAACATTGCATTGTCCAAAAAAAAAACTCAACTACTCTCGAGACATTGCCTTAAATAAGGGTATATATCGCACATCGTGTGATATCTCTGAGGTTATCTGCTCGAACTTAGGATCGGATGGTTTGATGTCATGTGAGAAAAAACTAACAAGTGCATTCAATCTGATTAAAAAGTAAATACTAATTGTCTCGGATGGGTGTCGAAAACGCTCCAATGTCCTTCGCATAGATTCATTCGGAGATAGTATGTACAGTGTTATTGTGAGCACCTCACATGAAGTGATCTTGGATGAACCATGAAGTCTGTGAGCTCCTACGAGTTCCTTAAGAAGATCGATGAATACTTCCTGGCTCATTCAAAATATATTACTAAATTTTGTGGAGTGCCCCACTAGCAACTCCCCAACCGATTTATCAACGATATATGAAGATGTCATACACAGCGACCGATCAATGTACGAGTTGTAGTACTTGTAGATTAAGCATATGACAGTAACCAACATCCCTCTCCACCTTCTTCTGCATGCATCCATGTTAACCGGCATCTGTCGTCTTCTACTTACATCCATGAGAATCGGTATCTTTCAGCCGTAACCCTATACATTAATGAGTTACTAAAACGTAAAAATTTGAGTAATACAAAAAGGAAGATGGTTGCATATCATAACATGAATATAAAAGAGTTCTCAAGTACAACAATAGAAAATTAAAAGAAAATGCATTATAAATGTTATTGTTCCAATGAATATCTCAAATAATTGAGCGATCGTAAAAACGTTAGAGATAAGGCGTTCATCATGCAGCTGACATCTTCACAAAGATATCTCTACGGACTGGATCCCCAATCAATTCTGTTGCATATAGATACAATGCTTCATTCTCATAAATTTCGGGTGAATCACTCAAAATTTGTAGTGCCTCCTCTATAGTGGTTAAATGAGAAGTCTGACATTCTGCATTATAAGAAGATACCAGCTGCAAGAGTTCGTTTCTAAGGAAACCAGCATCAGATTTTCTTTTATGTCAACCCTCGACCGCTTGGAAGGGAAAGTGGTCTCATATTCGTTCTGCTTCGGACTGAGGACATCAGTGGAATCACCTAAACCTCCTGGGGTTCCAAGATTCACGATATTCCCAGAAAATTCTGTCTCGCTTGGGCAACATGCATAGTTGTTCGTTGCAACCACCCTGTCAAACATGCGGTCGAGCTTTTCCTCCAATTCTAACTCAACTCCGAAAATCTTAAATTTATTTGCTATAGAAACTACCTAGAAAGAAATTAAGGAAAAGCTAATTATTGTACATTAGAGAGTGAAAAAATTAACAAAATAGAGTAAGAATATTCACCGCAAGTCTTTCAGTCCACCACTCATCCAGTGCATCAATTGTTTGCTTCAACGGATCCCACCCCAATCCTGTTGAGCCGCGTTTCAAGTCCTTCCAAATCTTTCATTCTTTCTTAAGCTGATCCCACTTATTCTTCAATTGCATTCTGCCATACTCTTTGTTTGTAATTTCCTTGAAATTTTTGGTAATATTTTGCCACCCTTCCTTGTTGAAGAAAATTGTTGGCTTGTTTCCTATTTCGATCGCTTTGAGGCAAATATCGCAAAATAATATTTTTGTTTCTTTTTCCAACAAGACCGGTGTAGCAATCTATTTCGTCTTATTAGCCATTTTTTTTACTACAATGAAACATACAAATGCAACAATACTAAAAAAAACAATGTCATAATAATACTTCACATAACATTCTCCATTACTGTATTTTATGAGCATTCTCAAACAGACTAGAATTGCATATGTTTCATAGCATTAATAACAACATTGGTTTCAATGAAGTTGTCTCCCTTTCATACAGAAATTTCTTACTAAATGCCCCAAAGGGCTATCAAGATATATGCATACAATGACATGAAACACAATTTCCTGATGCCCATTCATACAATGTTTTCTTACTATATGCCCCAGAGGGGTATCAAGATATATGCATAAAATATTATGAAACAAACTATTCAGAGGCAATCTATTTGCACGAGGATGCTCAAACAGAGAAGAACTGCAGATGTTTCATAGCAGTGAGAATAACAATTGTGACAACCAAGTTCTGTTGCCCTTTCATACACTATTTTCTTATTACATGCCCACAAATTATTCAGACATAACAATTTGCAATTCGGTTTTCAAGAGCATGCTCAAAAAACACAGCAAATACAGATGTTTCATATGAGTGAGAGTAACAATGGAGGCACTGAAGTTTTGTTGCCCTTTCATACACAAATTTTTTATTATATGCCCCAGAGGGATAGCAGTATGTAAGTATAGAATGAAATGAAACAAATAATGCCGAGGCTATCCATTTTACTGCCTCATAAATGGGTGTGTGTGTCAGTGAAAAAAAAAGAGATGAAGTACTGATGTTTCATAACGGTAGAATAGCAATGGTGGCAGTATGTAAGCACAGAAGGACATGAAACAAATTATTCAGAGACTATCTGTTTTTACTGCCTCACATATGGGTGAGTGTGGGTGAATAACCTAAAGAAGTACAGATGTGTCATGTGAGTAAGAATCACAATGGAGGCAATGAAGTTCTGTTGCCCTTTCATACACAATTTTTTTATTATATACCCCAGAAGGGTAGCACTATCTAAGCATAGAATGACATGAAACAAATTATTCAGAGGCTATCTGTTTTACTGCCAAACATATGAGTGAGTGCGTTATGAGTGAGTGCGTGTGAATAAATAGAGAAGAAGTACAGATGTTTCATGTGAGTAAGAATCACAATGAAGGCAATGAAGTTCTGTTGCCCTTTCATAATACATGTATGCACAATTTTCTTATTATATGCCCCAGAGGGTTAGCACTATCTAAGCATAGAATGACACGAAACAAATTATTCAGAGACTATCTGTTTTACTGCCTCACTTATGGGTTCATATGTGTAAATAAACTAGAGAAGAAGTACAGATGTTTCATGTGAGTAAGAATCACAATGGAAGCAATGAAGTCCTGTTGCCCTTTCATACACAATTTTCTTATTATATGCCCCAGAGAGGTAGCACTATCTTAGCATAGAATGGCATGAAAAAAAGTATTCAGAGGCTATCTGTTTTATTGCCCCACACATGGGTGTGTGTGTCAATAAACTAGAGAAGAAGTACAGATGTTTCATGTGAGTAAGAATCACAATGGAGGCAGTGAAGCTCTATTGCCCTTTCATACACAATTTTCTTATTATATGCCCCAGAGGGGTAGCACTATCTAAGCATAGAATGGCATGAAACAAATTATTCATAGGCTATCTGTTTTACTGCCTCACATTTGGGTGCTTGTGTGTGAATAAACTAGAGAAGAAGTACAGATGTTTCATGTGAGTAAGAATCACAATGGAGGCAATGAAGTTCTGTTGCCCTTTCATACACAATTTTCTTATTATATGCCCCGGAGGGGTAGCACTATCTAAGCATATAATGGCATGAAACGAATTATTCAGAGGCTATCTGTTTTACTGCCTCACATTTGGATGTGTGTGTGTGCATAAATTAGAGAAGAAGTACAGATGTTTCGTGTGAGTAAGAGTCACAATGGAGGCAATGAAGTTCTGTTGCCCTTTCATAATACATGCCCCAGTGGAGTATGAGTACCTAAGCACACTTTGCCATGGAACAAATTATTCAGAATATATCTATTTTACTGCCACCATTGCTGTTAGAATAACTTCTCAAAGCATAACATTTTGCAATTCGATTTGGTCAAACATGACATCAACTATTGATGTTTCATAGCAGTGAGAATAAGAATGGTGGCAACCAAGTTCTGTTGCCC